CGAAGCTCGGTAAGCGTGGTGATGCGTGTGATATGCAATGTTGTTTTGACTTTCCACCATACTCATAAATTTTAATCTCGGGTACCACGGGTATTAGCCGATCTACTCTATTTATCATCCGGTGGTCCGCATATCACCTTTTGCTACAACGGAATTATCCCTCGTTGTAACTACTGTTAGCGGGAATCCATCGTCTAACGAGTGCAAGCACACAACCTAGAGTACCGGACTACTAACACCCATTTATTCCAATTAGGTTATCAAACCTAGATGTATAAACCATTTCTTAATCAATTGACTTGTCTTAAACCACCCATTATGCACATGATGCACGTGATGACATATTTAATCACATTCAACCAATTTTGGGTACCAACCCTTCATTCTCATGCCATACTCACGGTCCAACCCACACTCGGAATTTATCCATTGCTCACATACCAATCATGATACCCACAAGCGGGAACACAATCTCCGCTCATTAATATTATTCATTAGGTTCATTAATATTTAAAAGAAGGTCCAAGTCCATTTAATTTAATCCAAGCCCATTAACTTTATCCTAGGTCCATTGACTCTATTTAATTCCATTTTATTTAGTCCAAGCTCATTTAGTTTATTCCAAACCTATTAATTTTGTCAAAGTCTCATTTTTTTGGTTTTAGGGTTTATTACCGAGCAACTCCTAATCGAGTAAATAATTTTCTAATTTCAGAACATAATTAAATCTTAATCATTTTATTTTAGATACTAGACATATTTATTTATAACATATCCAAAAAATAAGTCTAAATACCAAGTACACAATTAATTACAAATTTTTGAAACTTAGGGAGCAATCTGCCTAATAGTAGTTTATCTAGAGCTATCCATACTAAATCGGGTGTAACTCTTTGTAAGCTAATCCAATGACCAAGAAATTTTAAAGGAAGTTAGTTGAAACATAGATGAACAACTTTTATGCTTTAAGTTTCACCTAGAAATCGATCTAAAATCATTGAATAGACACCCCAAAATTAGGACAGAATTTACTCCTTATTAACACTAATTTATTAGTTCATTCCAAGCCAATTTTAAACATGTTTTAGTTCACTTAAATTTAGTCCAAGTTCAATCCAACCCATCACCACATACTTGGACATTTTTCAAAAAATCATAACATTATAAATCATCATAACAAGGCATCCATACATAGATTTATTCCAAGCATCAAGCATATAACCATTGAAAATTATTACAACCCATGAAATAAACGCTAACAAAATAACTTTAAAAAAATAATTTAAGACATTAATCAGCCAAAAAAATAAAACCTACTTACCTCTTTTAGGTTTGATTATAGTTTTCTTAGCTCTTTTTCTTTCCTTTCCTTTCTCTCCTCACGTTTTTCTTCCTCTCTTTTCTTTCTTGCCTTTTCTCTCTCAATTTCTGGTACCTACGGTTTACTAAAGTTTTTCTCCTATTTTAACACTTGCTATATATATATATATATATATATATATATATATATATATATATATACTTACTTTTATTCAGCTACAAGTGTTAGAAATTAATGAGATAAGGTGTAAAGGTTATGGGTGAGTTATGAGGAAAGTCGGCTACTTTGGAATCCATAATGGGTGAGTTGGCATTAAATTCATTTATTGCATTTGCTTAGGTGTCCATATAAAATTTAGACTAATTAAAATCATTAATTAACTTAATTCAAGTAACTAAAACTACTTTCTTTCATAAAAATTCAGAAATTTCTATTTTTAAAAATTCAGAATTTCTTTTCCTCCCAAAATTCCAGCAGTTGTTTCCTCCTAACCCATCTATACTAAAATGTGCATAACTCTTTCTATATGTATTCAAAATTTATGAAATTTTATAGAGATCTAGTATACACATAGAAAAACAACTTTTATTCTTTACGTTTTTCTCAAAAATCAATCTAACAGCATCAAATAAATCTCACAAGATTCGGGCAGATTTTTCTCCCAAAATTCCAGCAGAATGCATTTCGAAACAACCCTCACTATAATTGGTATAAATCTTAATGTATAGGTCCAAATATTATAAAATTTTATATAGGCCTATTAAACACATATATGAACAACTTTCATTCTTTAAGGTGGACCTAAAAATTACTCTAAAGGCCTCAAATAATTCACACAAAACTTGGGCAGAATATAGGCCTTAAAACATTGATTTTGCATATTTAATTTCTTTAATAATTAAACCATTAATCTTAAGCACAATAACTTTAATTTAACATAAATCACATATTTCAAGCATTAATTTCTCATGATGAAATGATAATTACACTTACTCTTAATATACATATATATAGAATTATTCTAATACACGTCGCGTTACGAATAAGGGTTTTTACAGGGGTTACAATAAGCTACTAGAATTTAGAAAGATAAGTAGAATTAAAGTTACATAGGATCTATAATCAGAATATTAGACCACTACAAAGCCTTGAATAAGTCTCCTTAAAATTAATAGAAAACTCCTTGAATTTGGCAACCATTAGTGTAGTCTAAATCTTGATGAATGCCGACTTGAAAAAAAAGTGTCAAATTTTAACTTTGGAATGACATGGAAGTGGATTGATCTAGTAGCTTTAACTTTGTTAATCTTCACCTAAAACATCAAGACAAGATGATTAGGCCAGATTGGACTTCAAGTCCGAACAATTCAGCCTAAAAGCTTGGATCGATTCATAAGACCCATCCGATCATCTTCAAGCCCATTAATGAAGAATTCAACCCACCCGAGTTAAATAAGTTAATTTAAAGACTCATGGATCTTCTTGGCCCTAGCCCTTGTGATTGAGCCTCCTCATGATCAAGCCTATGGTCGATTGTGCACCATTTGGAAGCATACAACTAGAATCAATAACCCATTTCAACAACAAGCCACGACCCAATCAACATGTAATCCCTCTCGCCCCAAATGATAATTGAATCAGTCCATTTTTGTCCAGCCTTTAATTCATGTCGTGGGCTCATTAATTTCACCTCAAAAACCAAGCTTTGACTCCTTTAAAAACCCATTTCTATGCAAATAAATCCATGCGAATATTATGCAGTCCATATTTTTTTTATGGAGTAATCCATCTAATTCCGTATGATTCTAACGTCTTATGATCATATCACAATCAATTCAGCAAGCAATAATGTTATAAGCCATTCTAAAACTTTATTTGCTTCTTTAATTAATGGTCTCATAAAATAGTAGTAAGATCAACTTTTATCCTTACTCGAATTATGAAAAATAAAATTCTCTAACCAATTTTAGTAGTAAGGCAATACAAGATTGGATACTTGATAGTGGAGCTTCTTACCATATGTCTCCTAATAAATCTATCATATTTGACTCACAATCTTATAGTTCTGTCTTACTTGTTAGAATGCCTAATGGATCAAATTTACTCGTTAAAAGATATGGTTATGTTTTCCTTTTTAATAACCTTTTTTTGAATAATATTTTATATGTTTTATCGTTTATTTGTAATGCCGACCTATAAGAAAGTTTTAAAAGTAAAATTTTAATATTGCATTAGCATGATTACTTTTCTTGACATATTTAATAAAAAATTATTTATATTTCTTGATATTATGAACTAGTGTTACTTTGGTTTTTTAGGGTTCAATGAGTTAAAACAATCTTTTCATTTTTTTTGTTCGATCATGGAGAGACATTTCGGTCTACAATTAGTGATTAGTTAGTTATCTAGTATTAATAATTAAAAATTAACAAGACATTAGAAGAGAATTGCATTATCATAATAGATTTAATTGGTCATTACTATAAAATAAAGGATTATTCTGATTTTTTTAATAATGATATTTTTAAAAAAATTTAAGCATTTCATAAAGATGATTTAATTTAAATAAATAATATATTATAAATATTATAAAAAACTATTTTTATTTTTTGATATTATGAATTGATGTTACATTGGTCATTATTTTTTTGCCATAGACAGACCTTTCAATTCACAATTAGTGATTAGTTAGTTAATTAATGATAATAGTTATAAACTAACATAACATTAGAAGGGAGTTGTATTAAAACGATAGATTTAATTAGCCATTACTATAAAATAAAAAGCTATTCTAACTTTTTTGATAATATATATATTTTTAGAAATTCAAATATTCCAAAAATTGATTTAAATTCATAAATAATCTCTTGTAGATATAAAGAACTCATTTTTACTAAACAAGAAGTCTATTGATAAGTATGAGATGTTTATTATCATTAGACTAAAAACTAATTGAAAAATAACCATCTCAATTTCGTTAAAATACAAAAAAAAAAAAAAAAAAAATCATATATGCTAGATATAACCAAGAAATTTGTGAGAAAGCACTCTTTCATAAATAATTTATGAAAATGATTATGATATGACTTTATATAATTGATACAGTCTGAAATAATGTTGTGCATTTACCATCTAAATTTAATATGATTTATTGTTTTTTTTTTTTTTTTTTTTTTTTTTTTGTTAACAAGGGGCCTTCATAGGCTAATTATTTCATTTGATATTAGCTAAAACAAAATAATTATTCAATTATAACATGTGTCTTTGCCATATCCCTACATTTTAATCAAGTTTATAATAGATTACAAAAACTATGATTTTACTCGTGAGTATTTGTTAATTATTCAATTTTATCATGTATTTCCCAATTTTGTCTAGTTTCATCTGAGTGACAAATTTTATTAAATTTCCCATTTAAATGATAATCTGAATAAATAATAACAAGCAATATATATATATATATATATGATAAAACCCGAACCCGGTTCACCCTACAATATAAACTCCGGCTCAGACAAAAAAAAAAAAAAAAAGGCCCAAAGCGAAACGAAATCTACAATAGTGTAAATCAAGTGATCCTGGTCTCTTCTCTTCTATCCAGAAACCAAGATTCTTATTTGTTTCGAAGCCACTCTGTTACTATTACTACCAACGCAGAAAAATTGAAACTCACTTAAAAATGGGCATAATATCACAGTTAATTTCAGGATTAAACCTGCCGTTGCCACACCCTCCTTCTACTTGCTCAAGCTCCAACAACAACGGCAAAAATAATACTATTTTGTGTGTGGTGAAGGGGAGGACTCTCACGACGTCGTTTTTCAATGGTGGAGGTAGGTACTTTATTTGTTATTGCGTATGTGTTCAAGGGCATCTGTTAGTTTTTACTTTTAGTCCCTAAATTTGATCCTTCTTTGGATTTTGGGTCTTTTTTGCGTCAAAGTTTGGTGCTTTGTAGTGTTAAATGTGAGTTGAGAGGAGACCCGGAACATATAATTTACTGTTTTTGACGTTAATGCCCTTATTTTATTGATATGAGTGAAGGATTTTTGAATTCTTTGTCATAATTTATTTTTATTAAAAATAGTATACAAGGAGAGGCAATTGTTAGCTTTAGAGTACTAATTGTGTGGCGCCCAATTGTTTGTTTTTGAATTTGATTTCTTTTAGGGGGATGATATATAAGGAGACCTTTTGGATGAATTTGTAATATCTACGGTGGAGTGTTGTGATTGCGAGGAGGAATTTCGTAGGGGCTGATTATTCAAGGATCAATGAATTCAACTGAGCGTTACTAGTCACAAGAGTTGATGGGGTTGGCTGTATGAATGTTCTTGTCGGTTTTATTCAGTTTAGGCTGAATGTTGTTAGTGAGCTGTTGGTATACTGAATTTTAGTAATTTGATGTAGATCTTTAATAAATTTGACAATGTGTTATTGACACAAGCATAAGGGAGTAGCTCTATAAAAATTGTCAGCTATCTGATTCAGAATACACATTTATGCAGTTGGTTCTTCACTTCTGTGTTTAAACACCTGTTGATCTCTTTGCTAAATTTAATTCTGCTTCCAGTTGAAGCGCTAAAAGTTACTAGGATAAGGACCCGTCAATCCAGTTGGTCCCATTATTATAGACAAGGTGGAGGTGCTCTTGGCACTCGTATGAACCTTTTTGATCGGTTTGCTAGAGTTGTGAAGGTGAGATCTTGGGAATGTTTATCTGCATTTATGTAACAATACTGTGGGTTCATTTATTACTGCCATTTTTAATAAATATTACTTTTTCTACATTAACCAACGTGGTTTAGCTCTTTTCTGTTACAGTCATATGCAAATGCAGTCTTAAGTTCCTTTGAAGACCCTGAGAAAATTCTAGAGCAGACAGTACTTGAAATGAATGACGACTTAACAAAGATGCGTCAGGCCACAGCACAAGTAATTGATCTTGCATTTATTTCCTCTTTAGTTACTATTGGTTCTTTCTTCCCTGTTCTCTTCATCTTTACTCTTCCTGTCCCTGTCCCTCTCACTTTTGTTATACTGTTTCCTTTTCTTCTTCCTCAATAGATTATGAGGTACAATATGTCAAGTGTTTAACACTAAAATGGAAGTATCATTAATAGACATAAAAATTCTAAGCTTTCAATATCCTGCTGATGTAGAATTTCTTTATTCTTCCCTTTTCCTTTATGATGTTCTTTTATGTTTTATTCAGGTTTTGGCTTCTCAAAAACGATTGGAAAATAAATATAATGCCGCACAACAAGCTTCTGAAGAATGGTAAACAATGGTTGGAGCTATTATTACCAACAAGGGAAAATCAATTAGATTTATAAGTTTGATGGCATTCTTGTGGTGGAAATGAAGCATTATTTTGCATTACGTAGGTACCACAAAGCACAACTTGCTCTTCAAAAGGGAGAGGAAGACCTTGCACGTGAAGCTCTTAAGAGGCGTAAAACATATGCTGTAAGTTGAATCTTCCTAAAGAGACTGCATGGTGTTTGAATTTTTCCATTTCTAGTTTGTATTTTGTACCAAGTACCCCTGCCTGACAAAGCAAGAAAGATACTTGGACTAAAGGTCCGCTGGCATCAAACAAGGTGTTAATGCTAAATGTTACTCAATTGGCATTCAAGCCTTGTTCAGCTGCTGTCAAAAAGTGATGGAGAGAGAGTGAGAAAAGAGAAAACTGTTTTCTTGAATTAACAGTCCATAAGAATTTGTGGGTGAAATTGAATGTAACCTCTCTGTTAGTTCCATCATATGTTTTCTTGGTTTATGGAATTGTACTTTTGTTTATTTTTATTACTTCTTTAATATATTGTGCTAACACGGAGTAATTGAATGTAGCCTGTAGATGATGAGAACACATCAGTAACCAATATCTTCCATTTTCTTAATTTGTTATCAGCTCATAATTTTCTCCTTTGAGTATCACCAGTTTATTAAGAAACTAGGATTGGAGATTTTTGATTAATGTTGTTATGTTGATTGGCAGCTTTGTGTTCAGAGCAGCTTCTGATAAATAGTGCTTAAACTAGAAGTGAAAATATTTTATAGGGTTGTTCCACAACTTAATGCCCTCTCTGATGTAAATTCTTATCACCTTCAAAACATCAAACTTAATTCCTTCTCGTTTACTGAGTTCTGTTACTTATCAAATAACAAATGTGGAAGTTGCTGCTATTTATTGCTAAGAATTCAGGTGTGACTGTCAACAAAAAGTTGAGTAGATGTTGCAAGCTCAATGTGCAAGTTTTGTCACATTTACAAAGGAATCCTTGTGAAAGTAAATTGTTCTGCTTTCATTTTTGCAGGATAATGCTAATTCTTTCAAAGCTCAACTCGATCAACAGAAAGATGTTGTTGAGAATCTCATCTCTAATACTAGGGTATGCTTGTTCTTCTAATTCTTGCATCATGCTTCTAGTGAAAATAGCTTGTCTATTGTCATTGGTTTGGCCTGTCATAAACTGACCATTCTTAGGCAATGGTTCATCATGTGATCATGAATTTTATTCTTTTAATGAGTAATTCGTGAATTTATTTCAAGCATGGAAGTTAAAAATTTACCAGATGGGGTAGGGAATAAATTTTTTGGCAGTTACAGAATGACACGAGAAATAAAAGTTGAATTCCTCAATTGGTTTCTGGGTTGAATTCAGGAAGAGGTGTAGATAGAAACAGAGTATTAACTTATCGTTCATGATCAGTTGCTTGAGTTCTTAAATGCAAATAAGTTGGAGAGATGCGGAGGCAATTTGCTTTTCCTTTCTTTCCTGAAACAATAAACCAAAGACCAACGCTTAAAAGAAGCTTGAGGTTCTCCTTTATTAGGGTTTTTTTTTTTGTGTGGGAGGCTGAGATGTGTAACATTTTTTTATAATCCTTTTGGTAAAGAATTGAAATTTACTTGGCTGTATTTCATGCTGTTTTTCATTCTATTCGGTTTTCATCTTTTCAATAGCTATAGTGATATATTAATGTCCTTGTAGTTGCTTTTGATGAAATCAATTTTCTGTGTAGCTTTTGGAGAGCAAGATACAGGAGGCAAAATCAAAGAAAGATACTCTGAAAGCACGTGCTCAGTCTGCAAAGTTGTCTCTATCCCCAGTTCCCCTCTCTAAGTAGCTTTATTTCTTTGTTTTACCTTTGTAATGCATGCTTTGTTGTGCACTTCTGTGTTCCTGTAGGACTGCAACCAAAGTGAATGAAATGTTGGGAAATGTTAACACAAGTAATGCACTTTCAGCTTTTGAAAAAATGGAAGAGAAAGGTAAGGCTTTTGGAACTGATCTCTTTATTGAAATTCTGTTTTGCATGCATTTCCTGCCTTCCTCTCCTCTCTTATATGAAGACTTTGATAGTTTCAGATACTATACTTTGGAAACAGAACATTATGACGTGTGATATGTCAGTGGTTCTAGAATCCACCTACATGTAGACATCACCATGTATGCACTCAACTGTTTCCTATATTACCATTTCAGTCAACCTAAAACTCAATCACACTACAATCTTTGCTTGTTTTATTTGAATGATTATGTCTCCAAATTGATTCTTTGCAACTGTGACCGGTATGCTTGCCTAGGGTGTGTGTTTAACTTTGCCAGTACTTTTCCAGCCTATTGATGCTCACATAGCCATGTCTGTTGTTGATGTCAATTCGAATCCTTTCTGTTACCTATTCATGCAGTGTATTTAGTACCTACTGGATCATTTCTCTGTATCCTCCATTAACATGGCTGATCAAAATATTTCAGCTGTGTTTCTCCTGCATCATCTGAAAGTTGTACTCTCCCCCTTCCTTTTCTGTCTATTCTGGCCTAACTAGTTCTTACTTTTATGAGATGATTTTTTTCTGATACTATCATTTTGGTTATTAAGACCACCCTTTATTGCATAATCAATAGTATCTTCAGTTGGATACTATTTATGGTTATCCTTGCTTGATCAAATGTGAGCATTGGTCACTAAAAAGATGCTTGCAGTGAGTCATCTGGATCCCATGTTAATGGTTCTGAATTATTGCGTACTGTGAATACTGTTGGCACCTAATTGTATCTAAGATCTTTTTTCTGTTTGCTTCACCCCCGATAGTATTGGCAATGGAATCAGAAGCAGAAGCTCTTGGCCAGTTAACTACAAATGAGCTTGATGGAAAGGTATCTGTTATTTTTCTCCTTCAACTATTTTTTATTCTTGTGCCTTCTATAATTGTCAAGAATGTTATTGAACTAAACCTTTCTCTGCCCAATTCTCCCTTCATAAATTGTTGGAAGCATCCGTGTTTGCTTTTGTTGACCTTTGCGTTCTCATTGTGCATATGGGCTGGAAACTTTTATTTATTTATTAATTTTGAATTGTTAATAAAATTATGCTAAATACAAAGACATATAGGCATATCCTGACTTCCATAACTGATTGTATAAAACTATTACACGCATACACGCACACATTTGTGCAATTGTGAGATTGATTTCAACCATGCCAAACCATGCAAGATGCATGCAGTTAGGCCCTATTTAAAAGCCCATAAATTTAGCCAATTTAAGTAGCTTCAAATTCATTTTCTCTCTTCGTATTTTTAGAGTCGAAATTAGTTTTAGAAAAATGAATTCAATTGTGATTGACATGATAGAGAAGCTGGGTTGGCTACTGCCTTGTCTTCCTTTTGGTTTTCTTGTTCCGCTTTCTTTCTGCGGCTTTGGCTTACTCTTTCTTCCCTCCTATTTATTACCTCATGTTAAACTGCTATTATGTAAGACAAGGCCTGATTCTAACCTAAGGGGGATTCTTGAGTCCTTTTCCATGAACGTTACTTCTTTGGCCCTTGATGGGCTAAAAATGCTTTGGCATAGAATTTGGTGAAGGCCTTTTACCGCTGAAAGCTGAAATGCATGATAGCTCCGACTTCAAGCATTGTTCTTCAAATGGTTGTTGAAGAAGTTCTCATTCAGTGCATAAATTCAATGAAAGATGTATAATTAGAAGGTAGCTAGCAACTTGGACTGTTGGGAATAACACAGATAAATTCCTTGATAGTGTATTTAAAAGGTAAAGGAGTTCTAAATTTTTTTCCTTTACTATGACAATATATTTCTGAACTCCAATTCCTACTTAAAACCAACCACTGATTGTCCCAATCTTAATATCATATCAAATAGTGCTTTTAACTTTGCAATTGATGGTTTCTTTCCAAAATTAGATTTCATTGTGGTCCTTACCATTTCTTCTGTTCATTGTCTATGCAGTTTGCATTGCTTGAAGGCTCATCAGTTGATGACGACCTTGAGAATCTGAAGAAGGAACTAGCTGGAAGCTCGAAGGTATGCCTTACACAACTTATTAGTATGCGAGAAAAAAGGTGCCCTATGATTCTTGTCATGTATAGCTCAACTCAACTAGGGCAAAATAATTACTGTCAGTCTGTTTGTTTGATTACTTGGAAAAATTCTTATCCTGGTATTTGTTTCATGGATGGCAACCATAGAAGCAGGACAAGAAATTATGCAATTTACATGATTTTGGATGGCAATAATTTCTGTATACAAGACAGAGTAGTACTATGAGGATAAGAAAGATTGTTGATGGCCTTAAAGCTATTGCGAATTTTATTCTTGTAAAATTCGTGTAACTTCTATTTCCTTTGTCTTTTTAGAACACTTATTTCTTTGATCCTCTGAAGCAGAAAGGAGAACTTCCGCCTGGAAGAACAGTTGTCACCAGCTCAAACAATCCATTCCGAGATCCTGACGTCGAGATGGAGCTCAATGAGTTGAGGCAAAAGAGAAATAACTTTTGAAGTACTTAATATTTTCATGTGCAAACACCCAATTCGTACTTGCAAGTACACTATTGGATTAGGTCTTGTTTTGCCAGCAAATTACTCTGTAAAGGCCAAATAGATAATCGTTGTATAGTTGAGCCAAATTAAAATAAAATAAGTTTTGTTGAATGGGTTTGATGTTACACACCGTTGTCACATTGCAATTGCAATATATATGCATGCGTGCGTGACAGCAAATTGACTTGCGTTTAAAGTTATTCCTGGCATCAGATTGGCCGTTTAATTATGCATTAGAGATGGACGATTTTCTGATGTGGCCGCAGATGCCACCTTTGCCACAGCGCGAGGTGTGACCATCGGGCCAATGGTTCACCTGGCAGCACAAGCGCTGAATGGTTCTTGGCAGGTAGAGACAATAATAATGCAACAGATGATTTTGGTTGCGCCCAACATGGCAAATTCTTTACACATTCTATTGGAGTTCTTATATGGTCATAGGCTTGACTTGTAGGAACATACAGGCATGCAAAACAGGCAGGAGATGAGAGAAACTGGGGCGTGTTTTACGTGTACAAGTGAGGATTACTAGCATTGGCATGTGAAAATACTATATATAAGCTGCTTATGAGTCATAGCAATTCGAGAGTAATGCTAAACATGTTATAAGACTGGATTGCTCATGTTTGCATTGCGCTGTCCCATTAGGTAAAAAGACACTTAATTGATCCCAAGTCGTAAGCATATGGCAAACTGGCATGTTAAGCAATTTTCTTCTTCTTCCAATTACAATTACCCCATCATTGCCGAAATGAAATTTCAAATTTGTCATTAGCACGCGATCGGCATTAAAGGCTGTAGCAAATTAATACCAATAACCCACACACCTGACACATTCAAACTGACAATACCCATTTTTTTCTTCTTGTTTAGCAAAGCACAATCTCTTTTCCCACTATATATATATATAGCCTGCATATGACTAATTCAACACTTCTTGGTCAACACAGTTACACGTAGGCCTTAGAAACCCCACCAAAATTCCTAGATTTTACAAGAGTCGAAATAAGTCCAAGCACATAATACTGCTCCTTTTTTATGCTATAAATACTGCCAGCCACCTTGCTATTTCCACACACCAACCCTCAAAATCTCCGGCTAAAGAAAGACACTTATACAAAGACAACTTCTCTTGCTGTATTTTTTCCAGGAAAATTTGAGTGCATTTTCGAGCATGAATTTTGCAAAAAGGAGCTACTATCTTTTAATCATTTTTGTCATCTTAGTTTCTGTTTTAAGCCAGCAGCTGTATCGTGTTCAGGCAACAAGGGTGTTGCCGGAGGAATTTGCAAGTTCAAATCATTTGGAGACGTACTCTTCAGTTTATGAGAAGGCAAAGAGCAACATGGCTTGTTGGCTTGGACGGCTGGCATCAGGACCCAGCCCCAAAGGCCCTGGTCACTAGTTTCCATCCACGATGAAGAGTCTTATGGACTTTTATACTTAAGAAATGAAAAAATGGCATACAGTAGTGCTTTTTTTCTTTCTGTTTTCTTCGTCTTAGTTTCAAAATACTTTAGACTTTGTTATATAGGATTATAAATATGAAACAATGCGAGTAAAAGAATTCTTTGATTTGATAATGATGCGTTGGAATTTTAATTTATTACAATGTGATCAGTTTGCTGGGACACCGACTGCTTTTCTGTAGTACAATTTTTTTACCAGTACAGCAGCAATTTATTAAGCAATAAACGTTTTTAATTATCTAATCGATACGGAAATATTATAAATTTATTTAACGAATGTTTAAAATTGAAATGATTTGATGTCTAACGTCTCTAGCTATCCAAAGGCGATGTCATGTGTTAAGGTTAATGGATAGAAATAACTAAATAAATAGAAGGCAATGGGAGATTTTAATGAGCTAGATAGGTTTGGAGAATTTTACGATTTTACACGAGAGAGATGCGATGTGAAAAAGTTTGTGGATGATTTTTTTTTTTTTTATTGTATTGCTATAATGATGAATTATAATTAATATATATCACTAAAAAAATTGATTTATCGATGATTTAAATTGTTGCTAAATAAAAAAAAACTTTTGCTAATTAAATTTAGTGACGGTTTAAAAAGTGTCCAAAACTCGTCACTAAAAAACTTCTTGCCAATTTATTAGCGACGGTTTAATGATTCCGTAGCTAATTTAGAGACGGTTTATTTGTCGTTAAAAAATTAAAAATCCATTGGACAATATCTTTAGTCAATTATTTCATCGTTCACATGTCGCTAATAAGTGATATATCTCATTTTCATTTTTACATATCCAATCCAATCCAACAACTATAATAACAAGTATGAAATAGAATTATAGAAAATATGAATCCTTTATAATATATCAAATCCAATAGATATTCAAACACTAAATTTTATTAAATTGTATTAATATTTCGTGAAGTAAAAACATAATAGCGGTAAAAAAATAGATAATGTGACAAGGGAGTGCATGTTACATGTCAACATTTTCATCCGACGAATGATGATCGGTTAGAGGATTGATGGGGGGATTACTTTTTTGCATATTTAGTAGCATCTCGTCGCATCATTGCATATCGCTTATGATTATGTTGCTCCAACCGATTTCTAGTAGATTGGAGCAACATAATAGTACCCTTTAGTTTTGTTATCTTTTCTTTTTTTCTAACATTATTGGCCTCCATTTCCTTTCGATGCTCCTTAATATTGATATAGAACCGTGATGTGATCGAACTAAATGATGAATTGATATTAGAGTAATAATGAGAGGCTCGTGACTCGAGTTCGTACATTCTCTCCTCTTACTATCTCCTCCTCCAATAGCTCTCTTAAATATCTCGTTCATGTCAATGTTTGATGTTGAAGTACCTTTCGTCCCTTAGCTAGCAACCTCCTTCTCATATATTTTATTGACGATTGTCCTACATAATTTCATAAATTTTAATATTAGATAGTAATTTCAATAAATTATGTAAAAGTCTCATACGTATAAAATAAGCTTATAAATTACTTATCTTGATATTTTTGACTCGCTAATTGATGAATACATACTTATTATCAATCTATTTTTCGTGAGTCTTTAATAACACTTTACATGCATCGGATTCACGACCCAACTCCTTACCTTAAAACAAATATATTTAAATATATATTGATATTGTAATAATTATTTCACACACACACACATAATAGGATTGACCATGCATATTGTGTGCTCTTTCGTGTGTGATCGAATCTCCCATATGTCTATATGGACCAGCCTCGAGGCCACTCATCTCGCTTATACGGTCTCGAGCCGCCTACTCTAATCGGGCTTCGAGACTCGGCCTTCTATCAATTCTTGCTACCATGCATTCCATATCTCCCGTGATATATACGTTGGTTTGGGGTGCGTCTTCACATGATAAAAAAAGTCGGAAAATCACTTCCATGTCAAACTCCGCCATGTTTTCTTAAAGCTTTGATTGAACTTCGGTCCCATATAAAGAACTTCGCAAGAATGTTAAAAATATTCATTGGTACATTTAAATGAACATTAAGCAACTTAATTGAAATTTATAGTCACATAGTTAATTAAGCTATATATTATCTTAAACTCCTCTCAATAGAAGTCTTTAGTTTGCTCGATAATTGACTTTCATATCATTTCGAATAGGTCCACATGCTCATAAAATATCTTATAGATTCGACGAGAGTATACATCGGATGGATATAATCTGTTAAACAAGACAATTAATGATTAAATTAATGCATTAATATAATAATACACCATAAAAAATGTAATAAAAAACATATATAATATGCACTCCTTGCCATTAATAAGAGTAATTAGAATACGAGGATCGTATGTAGAATCGATAGGTATAGAAAACATATCGAAAGGGATGTACGAGAGACGGGCTATGTGTTGGTACCCGAAAATCATCTTTTTGGGGTGTGGGCCCTAATGACAGTGGAGGTTCGAAATGTCAACACATGGTTCAAACCGATGGAGCTCGGGTTGAAACATGTCAAACAATGATGGGTATAACATAGGGGTTGCTAGAAGGAATGCACAAATGTTAAAAGGAGGGGCCATGCAACCTCGGAATGGAAGTAGAACTACAACCACATCTATAGCCACTACCACCTGTCGATATCGGTATCACGACCCTCACCATCCGATATGGCCGCTATATGTGAGAACGTCCCTCTATGAGACATAACCTACGCATTATCACATTATATAGTTAATCAAATATAACAATTATAAAACATCTATATTACAATAAACAAGGTAAAATACATTTAATATACAATTAATAAATACCTTTATAATTAAATTAAAACATGCACACATATATGTTACCTTAACAATTTCAATTAAACCGGGGAGGGGGCATAATCCAACCTTACCACTAATCACTATCTTAGTCATCATTATCATAATTTTCATCTAAGAGTCTTTCCACTATCTCTCGTTTTAAATTCAACATCATCCTCTTCATTAATTTCATTCCCTTTTAAATCTATTAACGATTCGATTGGATCGATCAACGACTAACCCTCATCGTTATCAACTTGGATGACATTGTGTTGGGCTTCCATATTGTTCTCCTAAAATGATTTTGTATTTTTTTGGATCGTAATAGATAATTTGGCACATCCATCACCGCTCTTGGATTTATCTTACATACAACTAACCAATCATGTCCGATATAATTCGAGATAGGATATGTGGCATAATACACCCGATGTGCTTATGTTGCTAAGATAAAAGGATCGGATCTATTCGACCTCCTACGACTATGTACCTCTACTATTCTATACTAATCATAAACCCTTGTATCAACACCGGATGGAGTATCATATCAATCATATTTGAATAATACGAGTTCTCTTGATTGGTGATGCATGATACTCAAGTTTCAATATATCGGGTAACCTATCCTAGTGGTCATTTTTTCAACACTATAATTAACTCATTTTACGCATACTCCACTACACATTGTTGTTTTATCTAAACCATAGCTTTTGGTATGAAACTTGTACCCTCTCATAATTTATTCTAGATACGACTTAGTTATTCACAATGACCATTTTGTAAGATCTTTAATGTAATGATCGGTTATCGTGTTGGGTTATGCATTACTTATTTGTAAAGTACAAATCATTTTCTTACTATTAGTATAAAATTTTATCATTTCATCTTAACAAGAAAATCAATTCAAAATTTATGATACTCACATATTGATAAAATCATGATACAAAATTATTTTCAAGCCGAGCATCAACCTCGTGCTTCGATATGTTAAGATTACTTTGATAAAGTTGGGTCATGAAATAACTATCAAAGGAAAAAAATTATAAAAATTTTAATGTCTTTATTATATATAATGGATAATTAATGAAGTCTAACATTGAAAATTTTGCTAATTTTATCACTTACTCAAGTGTAAGGTGCCACCTCATCATAATTCAATAAAATGTATGTCTTGGGTGCAAGCTTTTCTTCATCTCGTCAACATATGTGATTTTGCTCGATCAAGAGATTCACTTTTGATTTGAATATAGTAAGCATCTCTTCAATCTCGTCACTTGATTCTCGAGCACACTCAAAGTTATGTGGCATTTTTTGATGTTTGGCATGCACATTAGGCTCAAAATAATATGAACGTAATGGTAATACTTCTTCAACTAAATATGCATTGCATATTGACCCTTCAACTCTCGCTTTGTTCTTTATATTGTTTTTTAGTTTTTGAAGATGCTTGCTTTATAGACGTATGTCGCTTAACAAATATTTTAAAAAAATTAATCAAGGGTTCAAATTAATATATTTATCTTTCAAATGGATACATCCATCGATATTGTATTGGGCTCGCTATTTTTGTTTCATATGCCAAGTGGACTTAAAGATGTTCCATTGAGTCGAAAAAATTCGATGGAAATATGCACTCACGTTTGCACAAAATTAAAGGTATCTCTATCTCGAGATGACTCATATCTTCAACCTCAATGGTAATGAAAGTCAATTCTTTAAAAAATAAGCTCAACTCGGTTAATGCTTGCCAAACATTTTTCAATAATAAGTCATGAAATGGGATAGATATTAACTTCTACATAAATATATGACAGCTTATAACTTTTCATGCCATATAATCCGATGGTGTTCATATTGACACATCTATCTAAGTTTGATACATATTAGTCAAGAAACCCGAGTTGTTTAATCAATTCGAGCAATTGTATTTTTTGTTGTTTATGAGGGTTTAACAAACTTTAGGATGTTTTTTAAAGTTTTCATTTCTTTCTAATTCGGCCATCGACAATAAAGTTGCAAGTCTTTTCTAGAGTTTGCATTATTTTTTGTTTTTCCCGACACACTTATAACTATATTAAACACATTCTCAAAGATATTTTTTTCAATATACATCACGTTCAAATTGT